CTCTCCCCTCTCTCCTCTCTCTCCTCTCTCTCCCCTCTCCTCATTATCGTTCATGCAGCCCCCCTCTCCTCTCTCTCCTCTCCCCTCTCTCCCCTCTCTCCCCTCTCTCTCCTCTCTCTCCCCTCTCTCCCCTCTCTCCCCTCTCTCCTCTCTCTCCTCTCTCTCCCCTCTCTCCTCTCTCTCCTCTCTCTCCTCTCTCTCCCCTCTCTCCCCTCTCTCCTCTCTCTCCTCTCTCTCCCCTCTCCTCATTATCGTTCATGCAGCCCCTCTCTCCTCTCTCTCCTCTCCCCCCTCTCCCCCCTCTCTCCTCTCTCTCCCTCTCTCTCTCTCTCTCTCCCCTCTCTCCCCTCTCTCCTCTCTCTCCTCTCTCTCCCCTCTCCTCATTATCGTTCATGCAGCCCCCCTCTCCTCTCTCTCCTCTCCCCTCTCTCCCCTCTCTCCCCTCTCTCCCCTCTCTCCCCTCTCTCCTGGTGGAGCTCTCTGGTCTGGTCATTAGCGCTCAGCAGTGGTGGATTGAGAGTGCATGAGCGGCCCGCAAGGCACTACTCTGACTCCCCCTCCTCCCCCACCTCCCCCCTCTCTGTGTGAGTTTGAGTGCATGAGAGAGAAGCCTCCGCCCCAAACCAGGCAATTATCTGCCGTGATAAGGCTGAAGACCCTTTCTGCATTTTTATCATTTGGACAAAAATGGTACCTGTAATATTCTGTGGTGAAAGTTGTCGACTGTAGACTCTCTTTGCTCCTGCTTCAGTCTCACTACAGAGCAGTCAAATCGACGGCTTTTGGACCAATGGCATTTCCTGTGTTTGAACTGTTTGATTCTCTGATCTGTGTTGGCGAATTGACAACTTTGTAAAGTCCTCAGAGTCGGCTGTAGGTGATGATGGAAGTTTTCCCATTGACTGGACAATCAGTGGCACAGTCGCTCTTGTTCTCATGATAATAACATTTCTCAGGTCTCTCTGGTCTCTCTCTCTGGTCTCTCTCTCTGCTCTCTCTTGGTCTCTCTCTGGTCTCTCTCTCTGGTCTCTCTTGGTCTCTCTCTCTGGTCTCTCTCTGGTCTCTCTTGGTCTCTCTCTCTGGTCTTTCTCTGGTCTCTCTCTCTGGTCTCGCTAAGGTCTCTCTGGTCTCTCTCTCTGCTCTCTCTTGGTCTCTCTCTCTGGTCTCTCTTGGTCTCTCTCTCTGGTCTCTCTCTGGTCTCTCTCTGGTCTCTCTCTGGTCTCTCTCTGTCTCTCTCTCTGGTCTCTCTCTGGTCTTTCTCTGGTCTCTCTCTGGTCTCTCTCTGGTGTCTCTTTGGTCTCTCTCTGGTCTTTCTCTGGTCTCTCTCAGGTCTCTCTGGTCTCTCTCTGGTCTTGCTCAGGTCTCTCTCTCTAGTCTCTCTCACTGGTCTCTCTCTGGTCTCGCTCAGGTCTCTCTCTCTGGTCTCTCTCTGGTCTCATGGTCTCTCTCTCTGGTCTCGCTCTCTGGTCTCTCTCTGGTCTCTCTCTCTGGTCTTTCTCTGGTCTCTCTCTGGTCTCTCACTGGTCTCTCTCTGGTCTTTCTCTGGTCTCTCTCTGGTCTCTCACTGGTCTCTCTCACTGGTCTCTCTCACTGGTCTCTCTCTGGTCTCTCTCTGGTCTGTCTCTCTGGTCTCTCTCTCTGGTCTTTCTCTGGTCTCTCTCTGGTCTCTCTCTGGTCTCTCACTGGTCTCTCTCTCTGGTCTTTCTCTGGTCTCTCTCTGGTCTCTCTCTGGTCTCTCACTGGTCTCTCTCTGGTCTCTCACTGGTCTCTCTCACTGGTGTACCAGTGTTGTTTTTCTGGTTAGATGCTAAACCACATGTATTAACATTGTTCTTACTGTAGAGACCCTAAAGTTGACTAATCTAATTTAATCTAATTTAATCTAATTTTACACGGTAAGAATGTCCCATTGTGATGTCGCATGTATCTCACAGTTTTCTCCCCATGAGGACACAGACGCGCAGCGGTGAAGCCATTGTAATAAAACACATGTTTATTATCAATGTGATAGAAATAAAATCACTGGACAATTAGAAGCATGTCTACTCATCATCATCATCATCATCATCATCATCATCACCATGACAACAGCTGTAGAAGAACAGAAGAACAGCACAGTCCTGTCCCAAAGTCACAAAGATCAAACCACAGATAAATAGGTCTACTCCACCTATTTACACATCCACCCTTTAAATTAATATAAATAATATTTACACATAAATTAACATCGTAGCTCCGTGTGTCGGTTCAGTAACCACGGAAACCGGTTCACCCTTTTACCCATAATGCATTTCTGTGTGGAGCGGAGACAGCAGAGAGTATTGGACCAGACACAAGCATGAACCAGGACTCACCCTAACCCAGCTCTAGTTACTCAGCGACATTACTCACTGTGTGTTGTTGCTCTTTCTGACTTGACTTTGTCTGTTTCATTTCTATGTCATTATTTCCATGACGTAGGAGTTTTTTTAATTTTAAAGTCGAATTTTGGTCAACGGTTAGTTTTATACCTCACTAATTAACTGATAATTCACTGATAATTAGTCTATAATTTATGATTTATTAACTCAAATTAATTGGTATTTATTAAGCACTAATTAGTCCTTTTTCTACATTATTCTACATGTAATACTCACCGACACTTTCTCGTGCGGTTCAGGTTCAATAATTAGCATTTCATGTTAATTAGTGAGGGCTGAACTAAAGTGTTGCCAACATTTCAAAATAAAGGTTTTTTTTTAATCTTTTCATTGTTTTCTTTGTACATTTAACACTTGTTACTTCCCACCTGTTCAAAGCTGATTCATTTAACTGTTTATTTTAGTTTTTTATTTATTTTTGTTTGTTATTACCCTCACCTTTTATAACGCATCTTTGAATGTACAAAAAAAGCGATAAAAAAGTAATATGATATCATTATTATTATTATTATTATTATTATTATATTAATTATTATTATTATTATTATTATTATTATATTAATTATTATTATTATTATTATATTAATTATTATTAAAGTTATTATTATTGTTAAGGTGCTGGTTCAGGCTCAGAGCAATCTCAGCTTGGAGAAAATGCTAGTAACCATAGCAACACACTGTTTACTTGACAGCCGTTAGCATTTAGCATTTAGTAAACTTTCAACAAGTTTACTAAATTTAGCTGAGTCTCAAGTTTAATATGAAGCAGTTTTAGCACTTTTGTAAAGATATACATCGTATAAATGGCTTAATTTGAATAAAAAAGTAGCGAAAAGGTTACCGTAGCAACACACTCTGTACTCGACAACGGTTAGCATTAGCATTAGCCTTTCAACAAACGGGTTTTGTTGTATTTGAAGTTATATTCAGAAGGTTTTAGCACTTATTCAAAGTGAGTAAAGGTACAAAATCTTATAAATCACATTTTAGCGAGAAAAAATCTCAGAATTCCCGTTGGTTTAAATGAGAACAGTCGAAACATGCGGCTTCGATGAGTTCCATAATAATTGTGGAGAAAGCGAGAGAACGTTCTGGAGAAATCCCTGGGCTGTTGCTGTTTACACATTTATCCATTTACAAATCATTTACAATTAAAATAGTCTTTAATGATAATAATCTAATTTCCCGGGAAGTAAACAGTCTTAACATAACTTCACTCTCGGAAAACTTTGGAGAAATTGGAGATTGTAGCTGGTATTGGAAAATCAAAACCATTCCCGGAGAAGGCCATTATTCCTCTAAATAAATCCAACCCAATCCATTTTGTTGCGAAAAATGACAAAAAAAACTAATAAAAAGATAACTTCAAAAAGATCCTAAATTGAGGACATTGGATTTGTCTTAAAACGAGATCAGAACAAGATTTACGCAAAAATGTCTTGTTCTTTTCAGTATTGAGATAATTTTCAACTTTGCTCATCGACAAATCTTTAAAATGTACTTGAATAGAGATTAAAAAAACAAGCATTTAAAAATATGTTTCAAAATATTGTCACTAGAATTGTCTTTTCTCTATTTGTCACTAATTATATTTTACATTACTTTAAAGTATTCTTTTTAATGGAATCTCACTGGATTTGTACTTTAGCCAAATGCCTGAAACTGTCAGAATTGTCCGAAAAGTCACAAATATTTATTTATTTTTTTTCTTAAGTGACATTGTGATACTAAAGAAAATACTCGGAGAAGTATTAAAAGCTCTCGTTCACGTCTTCTGCTTCCATCAACTCTGTAACAGTCCACATTGGACAGGCATTTTGGCACACTGTTCCTTTGGTCCATTACTTTCTACTGTCTCCTCACACACACACACACACACACACACACACACACACACACACATCGCTGTTATCGAGCCTTTAGTCTCTCAGGATGGTGGACGGACGAAGGGGAGGGGAAGAGAGGGGCTGGAGGGGGGAGGAGGGGGAAAGAAGGGGGAGGAGGGGGTCAAAAAAAAAAGATGGACCACAGTAAGCACCATGTCCTCAGGGGGGAACCAAAAGGACGCGACGCAGATGAAAAAATCCCTCTGCGCAGCGCTGACACTGGCCCCCGGCGCTCTCTCCTCATCCTCCTCCTCCACCTTTTGGCCTCGATGAGTTCAGTTAGCGTTAGCGGTGTAAAGCTAGTATAGTATCCCGCCTTCTGCCGTCCGTCCCAGTCCTTTCCACCCTCTCATTTCCGCTGCTTGTCGTCCTTGTCCGCGCCCTTGTTGCCCTCGTGCCGGCTGTTGGGGGGGTTGTTGAGGAACATCTTGTCCAGTCCTTTGAGGGCCTCGGTGAGGTAGTTCTGCAGAGCGGTCAGGGCGGCGCAAATGGCCGGAGAGCCGAAGCCGTGCGTGATGAAGCTGAAGTGGGACAGGCAGCTCTGGATGCCCGGCTCCAGGATGGGGGAGGGCCGCGAGTTCCCCAGTGGAGTCCGGTCCTGGGCCAGCAGGTCGGTGAACTCCTTACACAGCTGTCTGCAACAAACAAGACACAGGGAGGTCAGAGAATTAAGCGATATATACTTTATGGGAGACAAATAAGAACAATATTGCATCGGTTTTATATACAGCGCTTTTCATAATTCTTTCACTCCAAACACGGTGGTGGTAAACTACTATTGTAGCCACATCTGCCCTGGGGCACACTGACAGAAGCAAAGCAACCAGTCTGTGCCATCGGCCCCTCCCACCACCACCAACCATTCACACACACACCAGACTCATTCTAATGTGGGGGAAGTGTTTTGCCTAAGGACACAGATTGGCACTGGCACCTGGTGTTCCCAGAGGTCTCCCATCACAGCACTAACCAGGCCCTGCCCTGCACAGCTTCAGAGCTCTGACAGGATGTTGCTTTCACCTGCAGGAGGGGCCTCACAATGATAATACATTCACCAATATCTGCTGGGACTCTGAGGAGCACAGGGACTGGCCTCCTGCTGGGACTCTGTGGAGCACAGGGACTGGCCTCCTGCTGGGACTCTGTGGAGCACAGGGACTGACCTCCTGCTGGGACTCTGAGGAGCACAGGGACTGACCTCCTGCTGGGACTCTGAGGAGCACAGGGACTGACCTCCTGCTGGGACTCTGAGGAGCACAGGGACTGGCCTCCTGCTGGGACTCTGAGGAGCACAGGGACTGACCTCCTGCTGGGACTCTGAGGAGCATAGGGACTGGCCTCCTGCTGGTCCCAGAGTCTGGAGCTTCACATAAAGACTTAGACCTCACTTTGGAGTCAGGACCTAAACATTCCTCCCTCTCAGAGCAGACATTTGCTTCGATGCAAATCAATGGAAATCTGTAATAAAAAATGGTCCCTCTGAAAACCCAGAGGGGATTTGGTCGTTTTGGTCAAATACATGAAACCAATGAATCGCCAAAACAACTAAACATGGACAGTCGGTCAAACCCTCGTAATGATCTGGAATCATCTTCAAGGTCCATTTAAAACAATCACTGTTTTTAAAGTATTTTTACCTCAGACCTGTTTTTATCATAATGTCTCTCTCTAGTCTTCCTCTGGTCTCTCTCTCTTTCACTCTCTGATCTCTCTCTCTTTCACTCTCTTGTTTTCTTGTATCTCGCTCTCTTGTCTCTTTTTCTCTGTTCTCTCTCTCTAGTTTTTCTCTGGTCTCTCTCTCTAGTTTTTCTCTGGTCTCTCTCTCTCTCTCTCTCTCTGGTCTTCCTCTAGTCTTCCTCTGGTCTCTCTTATCTTTTACCCCAGCTCAGCCCTGTGTCCTCTGTGTGTTTCCCATCACGTGTGTCTCTCTCTGGTCTCTCTCTCTCTCTGGTCTCTCCCTCTATCTGTCTCTCTCTCTGGTCTCTCTCTCGCTCTCTCTCTATCCTGTGTCCTCTGTGTGTTTCCCATCACGTGTGTCTCTCTCTGGTCTCTCTCTCTCTCTCTCCCTGGTTTCTCTCTCTCTCTCTCTCTCTGGTCTCTCTCTCTATCTGTCTCTCTCTCTCTCTGGTCTCTCTCTCTCTCTCTCTCTCCTGTGTCCTCTGTGTGTTTCCCATCACGTGTGTCTCTCTCTGGTCTCTCTCTCTCTCGCTCTCTCTCCCTGGTCTCTCTCTCTCTCTCTCTCTGGTCTCTCTCTCTCTATCTGTCTCTCTCTCTCTCTGGTCTCTCTCTCTCTCTCTCTCTCTCTCCTGTGTCCTCTGGGTGTTTCTCATCAAGTGTGTCTCTCTCTGGTCTCTCTCTCTCTCTCTCTGGTCTCTCTCTCTCTCTCCCTGGTCTCTCTCTCTCTCTCCCTGGTCTCTCTCTCTGGTATCTCTCTCTGATCTCTCTCTCTATCTGTCTCTCTCTCTCTCTGGTCTCTCTCTCTCTCGCTCTCTGGTCTCTCTCTCTCTCTCTCTCTGGTCTCTCTCTCTCTCTCTCTTGTCTCTCTGTCTCTCTCTCTCCTCTCTCTCTGGTCTCTCTCTGGTCTCTCTCTCTCTCTCTCTCTCTCTCTCTCTCTCCTGTGTCCTCTGGGTGTTTCTCATCAAGTGTGTCTCTCTCTGGTCTCTCTCTCTCTCTCTCTGGTCTCTCTCTCTCTCTCCCTGGTCTCTCTCTCTCTCTCCCTGGTCTCTCTCTCTGGTATCTCTCTCTGATCTCTCTCTCTATCTGTCTCTCTCTCTCTCTGGTCTCTCTCTCTCGCTCTCTCTCTCTGGTCTCTCTCTCTCTCTCTCTCTGGTCTCTCTCTCTCTCTCTCTTGTCTCTCTGTCTCTCTCTCTCTCTCTCTGGTCTCTCTCTCTCTCTCTCTCTCTCTGTCTCTCTCTCTCTGTGTCCTCTGGGTGTTTCTCATCACGTGTGTCTCTCTCAAATTCTCCTCGTCGCTCGCGGTCTCAGGCCGTGTACTTTATATTCATACGAGCCCCTCCTCCGTCTCTGTGTGTGCGGCCTTAGGGCTGGAGTCGGGGCGAATGAGTGACAGTCTAAGCGGGACAGGCCCAGCTGGGGTGAGGGGGGGTGAGGGGGGTGAGGGGGGAGAGAGAGCCACCGGAGGCGACACCCAGGGCCGAGGCGCTGTTGTTTCGCCGCGACTTGAAACACTTCGCTTCTAAATAATGGATGTAAGAGGCGCACGGCGAGGGAGCAGGTTCAGAGGGAGAGCATCAAACACACGGCCAGAGAGAGAGAGGCCAGAGGAGAGTGTGTGGGTGTGTGTGTGTGTGTGTGTGTGCGTGCGTGTGTGTGAGTGTGTGTGTGTGTGTGTGTGTGTGTGTGCGTGTGAGTGTGTGTGTGTGTGTGTGTGTGTGTGCGTGTGTGTGTGTTAGCGAGCAAAAGACACAGTTCAATTCTATTCAATGTATTTGGTAATCTGCAAACACATACATATGTAGATAGATGGATGGATAGAAATATATCGATATCGTTGGAGCCATTTTTGTATGTTTTATTTTGCTGCCTCCTGCCTCTGTGTGGCGCCACCTGTCAATGCTATGCCCTATATACGCACTAATTACTGACAGGTGACCATAGACTGTAAATATTAACAAACGCAGTCATGTCTATCTCCGTCGGTCTAACTAATGTGCCACAACTTCCGCGGTCTATGGGTGGTTTCAAAATGGCCGCGGGGGCTGGAAAATGTGAAAAAACACATCTGTGCATGCGTCAGCTGCACCAGCCCCATTCATTTAAACGAGAGACGTCAAAAGTCCACAGCGACTAAACTAGACTGGTCCAGAACACCCCCCTCAGCATTGACACACATGTGGGACGGAGCTTTAGGCCAAGAGCCAACTTTTGGACCATCCTGTAAAGCATGTCAGCGCACGTCATTTTGGCCACTTTTGAGCTGGGACCCTCCCCCACTCTAAACTGTCCAAAATGACGTGCGCTGACATGCTGCAATACCACCCCGGGCCTGTGGGGGTGGACCCAGAAGTAGAATTAGCCAATGCTAACATATAGCGTTGGCAGACCTCTCAAAAACGTCTTTACAGGATGGACCAAAAGTTGGCTCTTGGTCCAAAGCTCCGTTCCACATGTGTGTCAATGCTGAGTGTTCTGGACCAGTCTAGTTTAGTCGCTGTGAATTTTTGAAGTCTCTCGTTCAAATGAATGGAGCTGCTCCGGCTGACGCATGCGCAGATGCATTTTTTCACAATTTTCTTGTGGGCGGGACCACTCGCGACCATCTTGGATTGCTCCAGTAGAGCACATTTTTTGGCCCATTAGTTAGAACGGCGGAGATAGGCGTGACTCTGTCTGTTTATATACAGTATACAGTCTATGATTGTAGTGTGCTCAGTCCTGTATGTGCGCTGCAACACTGACATTTCCCCACAGTGAGACAAAGGTTCTCACTGATCTTTCTGATAGCTGTTTATATCTTCATTTGCCACGAGACCATGAGCTGCAAAAAGTGATGAACAAAAAGTCAAAAATGTCTCTATTTTGCCAAAACGTACCTTAATCTGAGACATTCTGACTGAGCCCGAAACATGATTCTCCAACGAGACGAAGCAATTCTTAAAATAAATGGTTTTGTCTTTTTGGAGAATCTGGTTTTAACACAGTCTGAATGTGTCGGATTAAAACACATTTTGCCAAATTTGAGCCATTTTTTATTCCTTTTGGTAAAGCCCTGAATCACAGCTGCAGCTCCACAGACAGACACACACACACACACACACACAGACACACACAGACACACACAGACACACACACACACACACACACACTCACACTAACACACACACACATGCATTAAGTCATGTCAAAGCCTTATGTAGACAGAGGCACACACACAGACACACACACACACACACATACTTGAACACACAAACATATAACATGTTATTTCTTAATCAGCTGTTAAAGTCAGAAGTGTGTTTAATGTTTTTTCCAGATTAAAACAATGTAAAGTTTCCGGTCCACGTGACACGCTCCTAAACGTACGGCGCCGTATCGTTCGCTCGCCGTCGTCCCCGGGGCCGTTCAGAAATGTTTAATTTGAAATGATTTAATTTTGATCCCATTTGCGGAGTATAAATGTCTGCTGTAAGTGCAGCCGCGGCCGATTCATATTCAAATGTCACCAGCTTTATTGAAAACGTGGAACGGAGACAAATGAACGAGAGAAATGTCATTATTTCTGAGGATGTGTGTTTAAAACCTCCTCTTTCATTACGGCGACAGAGAGATTCTTTATGCTGCTGTCAGAGCCGTGTGTGTGTGTGTGTGTGTGTGTGTGTGTGTGTGTGTGTGTGTGTGTGTGAGTGTGTGTGTGTGTGAGTGTGTGTGACTGTGGTTCACAAGAGCAAGACAATTCTCCCTGATTATAATAATAATGATAATAAATAACAATAATAAAACTACAAATAATTGAAATAGTTGAGATGATTAATGCTCCTGTATTTGTATATTTTCTCTGACCTCTCATCTCTCTCTGGTCTATCTGGTCTCGCCCTGGTCTCTCTCTGGTCTCTCTCTGGTCTCTCTCTGGTCTCTCTCTGGTCTCTCTCTGGTCTCTCTCTGGTCTCTCTCTGGTCTCTCTCTGGTCTCTCTCTGGTCTCTCTCTGGTCTATCTGGCCTCTCCCTGGTCTCTCTCTGGTCTCTCTGGTCTCTCTCTCTGGTCTCTCTCTCTATGGTCTTTCTCTGGTCTCTCTCTGGTCTCTCTCTCTCTGGTCTCTCTCTGGTCTCTCTCTGGCCTCTCTCTGGCCTCTCTCTGGTCTCTCTCTGGTCTCTCTCTGGCCTCTCTCTGGCCTCTCTCTGGTCTCTCTCTGGTCTCTCTCTGGTCTCTCTCTCTGGTCCCTCTCTCTGGTCTCTCTTTGGTCTCTCTCTTTGGTCTCTCTCTCTAGTCTCTCTCTGGTCTCTCTCTGGTCCCTCTCTCTAGTCTCTCTTTAGTCTCTCTGGTCTCTCTGTGGTTTGGTCTCTGGTCTCTCTCTAGTCTCTCTCTGGTCTCTCTCTGGTCTCTCTTTGGTCTCTCTCTGGTCTCTCTCTGGTCACTCTCTGGTCTCTCTCTGGTCTATCTGGCCTCTCCCTGGTCTCTCTCTGGTCTCTCTCTCTGGTCTCTCTCTCTATGGTCTTTCTCAGGTCTCTCTCTGGTCTCTCTCTGGTCTCTCTTTGGCCTCTCTCTGGCCTCTCTCTGGTCTCTCTCTCTGGTCCCTCTCTCTGGTCTCTCTTTGGTCTCTCTCTTTGGTCTCTCTCGTCTCTCTCTAGTCTCTCTCTGGTCTCTCTCTGGTCCCTCTCTCTAGTCTCTCTTTAGTCTCTCTGGTCTCTCTGTGGTTGGTCTCTGGTCTCTCTCTAGTCTCTCTCTGGTCTCTCTCTGGTCTCTCTCTGGTCTATCTGGCCTCTCCCTGGTCTCTCTCTGGTCTCTCTGGTCTCTCTCTCTGGTCTCTCTCTCTATGGTCTTTCTCTGGTCTCTCTCTGGTCTCTCTCTCTCTGGTCTCTCTCTAGTCTCTCTCTGGTCTCTCTCTGGTCTCTCTTTGGTCTCTCTCTGGTCTCTCTCTGGTCTCTCTCGAGTCTCTCTCCAGTCTCGGAAATAATTAGTTTTTTTGTATTTGTTTATTCTCTCACGGTCTTTCTCTAGTTCCCCTTCTCTCTATCTCTAATCTTGCTCTTGTCTCGCTCTTGTCTCTGTCTCTCTCTCACTCAACATTTACGGTATTTGTTTTTTCGTCCCATTGTGGAAGAGAGAGACCAGAGAGAGAGAGACCAGAGAGAGAGACCAGAGAGAGACCAGAGAGAGAGAGACCAGAGAGAGAGACCAGAGAGAGACCAGAGAGAGAGAGACCAGAGAGAGAGACCAGAGAGAGACCAGAGAGGGACAAGAGAGAGACCAGAGAGAGAGACCAGAGAGAGAGAGACCAGAGAGAGAGACCAGAGAGAGACCAGAGAGAGAGAGACCAGAGAGAGACCAGAGAGGGACAAGAGAGAGAGAGACCAGACAGAGAGACCAGAGAGGGACAAGAGAGAGAGACCAGAGAGGGACAAGAGAGAGAGACCAGAGAGAGAGACCAGAGAGAGACCAGAGAGAGAGAGACCAGAGAGAGAGACCAGAGAGAGACAAGAGAGAGAGACCAGAGAGAGACCAGAGAGAGAGACCAGAGAGAGAGACCAGAGAGAGACCAGAGAGGGACAAGAGAGAGAGACCAGAGAGAGACCAGAGAGAGAGACCAGAGAGAGAGACCAGAGAGGGACAAGAGAGAGAGACCAGAGAGAGAGACCAGAGAGGGACAAGAGAGAGAGAGACCAGAGAGAGACCAGAGAGAGACCAGAGAGACCAGAGAGAGACCAGAGAGGGACAAGAGAGAGAGACCAGAGAGAGACCAGAGAGAGACCAGAGAGAGACTAGAGAGAGAGACCAGAGAGAGAGACCAGAGAGAGAGACCGGCGATACAGCAAGAATTGCAATATTTGGCCCAAAATTCAATATTTTTGAGATTCTTTACAGATCGCAATACAGACAGTTTGTGATTCCTGTCCATCAACAAGCAGACATCATAGAGTCACAACAAGCAGACATCATAGAGTCACAACAAGCAGACATCATAGAGTCACAACAAGCAGACGTCATTGAGTCACAACAAGCAGACGTCATTGAGTCACAACAAACAGACATCATAGAGTCACAACAAGCAGACATCATAGAGTCACAACAAGCAGACGTCATAGAGTCACAACAAGCAGACATCATAGAGTCACAACAAGCAGACATCATAGAGTCACAACAAGCAGACATCATAGAGTCACAACAAGCAGACGTCATAGAGTCACAACAAGCAGACATCATAGAGTCACAACAAGCAGACATCATAGAGTCACAACAAGCAGACATCATAGAGTCACAACAAGCAGACATCATAGAGTCACAACAAGCAGACATCATAGAGTCACAACAAGCAGACATCATAGAGTCACAACAAGCAGACGTCATAGAGTCACAACAAGCAGACATCATAGAGTCACAACAAGCAGACATCATAGAGTCACAACAAGCAGACATCATAGAGTCACAACAAGCAGACATCATAGAGTCACAACAAGCAGACGTCATTGAGTCACAACAAGCAGACGTCATGGAGTCACAACAAGCAGACGTCATAGAGTCACAACAAGCAGACGTCATAGAGTCACAACAAGCAGACGTCATAGAGTCACAACAAGCAGACGTCATAGAGTCACAACAAGCAGACATCATAGAGTCATATAAACCTCAGAGTAATCCTATAATTACACAACTTAAAGTTTCAATCTAATAAAAAAAACCTCAATTTGGAAAGAGGTCCCTGTGTTTTTATTTGTTTTTGAATGTGTGTGTGTGTAAGTACAGTATGTGTGTGTGTGTGTGTGTGTGTCTCCACTCACTTAGTTGCCAGCAGCATGTTCTTGCGTGTGTGTAGCTCGTTGGGGTCGGTGTGTTGTCGGTTCAGGTATTCGCTCACAGCTTTGGTGGGAAACTCCGTCTCACAGATGTAACCGAAGTCCCGCGCCAAGTGCACCGCTTCACCTGAGGACGCACAACCAGGGTCAGAGAGAGGAAGAGACACACACAAACACACAACACAGAACAACCAGGGTCAGAGAGAGGAGACGACACACACAAACACACAACACTGAACAACCAGGGTCAGAGAGAGGAAACGACACACACAAACACACAACACAGAACAACCAGGGTCAGAGAGAGGAGACGACACACACAAACACACAACACAGAACAACCAGGGTCAGAGAGAGGAGACGACACACACAAACACACAACAACCAGGGTCAGAGAGAGGAGACGACACACACAAACACACAACACAGAACAACCAGGGTCAGAGAGAGGAGACGACACACACAAACACACAACAACCAGGGTCAGAGAGAGGAGAGGACACACACAAACACACAACACAGAACAACCAGGGTCAGCGAGAGGAGACGACACACACAAACACACAACAACCAGGCTTGTCGTGACTCTATGATGTCTGTTTGTTGTGACTCTATGATGTCTGTTTGTTGTGACTCTATGATGTCTGTTTGTTGTGACTCTATGATGTCTGCTTGTTGTGACTCTATGATGTCTGTTTGTTGTGACTCTATGATGTCTGTTTGTTGTGACTCTATGATGTCTGCTTGTTGTGACTCTATGATGTCTGTTTGTTGTGACTCTATGATGTCTGCTTGTTGTGACTCTATGATGTCTGTTTGTTGTGACTCTATGATGTCTGCTTGTTGTGACTCTATGATGTCTGTTTGTTGTGACTCTATGATGTCTGCTTGTTGATGGACAGGAATCACAAACTGTCTGTATCGCGATATGTTCAGAATCTCAAAAATATTGAATTACGGGTCAAATATTGCAATTCTTGCTGTATCGCCCGTCTCTCTCTCTGGTCTCTCTCTCTGGTCTCTCTCTGGTCTCTCTCTCTGGTCTCTCTCTGGTCTCTCTCTCTGGTCTCTCTCTCTGGTCTCTCTCTCTGGTCTCTCTCTGGTCTCTCTCTCTGGTCTCTCTCTCTGGTCTCTCTCTGGTCTCTCTCTCTGGTCTCTCTCTGGTCTCTCTCTCTGGTCTCTCTCTCTGGTCTCTCTCTGGTCTCTCTCTCTGGTCTCTCTCTGGTCTCTCTCTCTGGTCTCTCTCTCTGGTCTCTCTCTCTGGTCTCTCTCTCTGGTGTCTCTCTGGTCTCTCTCTCTGGTCTCTCTCTTGTCTCTCTCTGGTGTCTCTCTGGTCTCTCTCTGGACTCTCTCTCTTTGGTCTCTCTCTGGTCTCTCTCTGGTCTCTCTCTCTGGTCTCTCTCTGGTCTCTCTCTGGTCTCTCTCTCTGGTCTCTCTCTGGTCTCTCTCTGGTCTCTCTCTCTGGTCTCTCTCTCTGCTCTCTCTCACTGGTCTCTCTTTCAGACCAACATTGAAGTTAAATAAATTGTTAATTAAACGTGTCGTCCTCCTTCACAGTGAGAGGCTTCTTAACAGTGTGCTTTATTAACCTTCATGAGGAGAAAAGAGGAGAAATCAGGAGAAATGAGGCGCGATGAGGAGAGCAGAGGATAACATGAGGAGAGATGAGGAGAAGGAGAAGGAGGAGGAGCCGGTACCTTCTACCAGAGAGGTGAGCAGCGTGACGTTGGCGGCCTTGCGTCTTCCCGCCGGTAAATTCAACCCGATCTTCTCCAGTTTCTCTCGTAAACACTTTCCTCCATTTTTAGACTTTGCTCTAAACACGACAGAAGAAGAAGAATGTCAGAGACAAGATCTGGATCTACAGCCTCAGTCCTGGATCTACAGCCTCAGTCCTGGATCTACAGCCTCAGTCCTGGATCTACAGCCTCAGTCCAGAACCATTAGATTCTCTGATGTTGGAGAGTTTTCTCTACAGCAGTTGTCGTTCAGCAACAACAGATCAAAAAATCTGGTTGGATTCACACATTCACAAAATGATATGGTTCTAAAATCTGCCACATGGTACATACTGTTATCACAGCTTCTGGTTTATTAAGAAAAAAAACTGATATTAATGATCATGTAAATCTCTCTCTCTGGTCTCTCTCTGGTCTCTCTCTGGTCTCTCTCTGGTCTCTCTGGTCTCTCTCTGGTCTCTCTCCCTGGTCTCTTTCTAGCCTCTCTCTCTGGTCTCTCTCCCTGGTCTTTCTCTGGTCTCTCTCTGGTCTTTCTCTGGTCTCGCTATGGCCTCTCTCTCTGGTCTCTCTCTGGCCTCTCTCTCTGGTCTCTCTCTGGTCTCTCTCTCTGGTCTCTCTCTGGTCTCTCTCTGGCCTCTCTCTCTGGTCTCTCTCTGGTCTCTCTCTCTGGTCCCTCTCTGGCCTCTCTCTCTGGTCTCTTTCTGGTCACTCTCTCTGGGGTCTCTCTCTGGCCTCTCTCTCTGGTCTCTCTCTGGTCTCTCTCTCTGGTCTCTCTCTGGTCTCTCTCTGGTCTCTCTCTGGCCTCTCTCTCTGGTCTCTCTCTCTGGTCTCTCTCTGGTCTCTCTCTGGCCTCTCTCTCTGGTCTCTCTCTGGTCTCTCTCTCTGGTCCCTCTCTGGCCTCTCTCTCTGGTCTCTCTCTGGTCACTCTCTCTGGTCTCTCTCTCTGGTCTCTCTCTGGCCTCTCTCTCTGGTCTCTCTCTGGTCTCTCTCTCTGGTCTCTCTCTGGTCTCTCTCTGGTCTCTCTCTGGCCTCTCTCTCTGGTCTCTCTCTCTCTCTGGTCTCTCTCCTCTCTCTCTCTATCTCTGACCCCTCCCTCTGGTGTCCACCGGTCACTCACCTCCTGAGCACCCCCCCCAGCAGGGAGGCGTTGAGGCACTCTGGGGGGGACAGCCTCCTCTGCACCTCCCCAACCGTCACCTTGTACTTGGAGGTGGAGCTGAGGAGAGAGAGACGTCCCGGGACGGAGCAGAACACCTCGTTGATGTTGACGCTGATGCCGCCAATCAGCCCGTCTTTCCCCAGCATCAGAGAGCCCATGTTCTTGTGCGGCATGGGGACTGAGGAGAGAGCACACACAGGGTTAAAGGGGACTGAGGAGAGAGCACACAGGGTTAAAGGGGACTGAGGAGAGAGCACACACAGGGTTAAAGAGGGACTGAGGAGAGAGTGCACACAGGGTCAAAAAGGGACTGAGGAGAGAGCACACACAGGGTTAAAGGGGGACTGAGGAGAGAGCACACACAGGGTCAAAGAGGGACTGAGGAGAGAGCACACACAGGGTCAAAGGGGGACTGAGGAGAGAGTACACACAGGGTCAAAGGGGGACTGAGGAGAGAGAACACAGGGTTAAAGAGGGACTGAGGAGAGCACACACAGGGTCAAAAGGGGACTGAGGAGAGAGCACGCAGGTACATATAGACACAGAGAGACACAGGGACTGAGGAGAGAGCACAGGTACACAGAGACCTGAGGGCGGGGCAGAGAGAGGAGCAGGAAGTAAAACTAAAAGAGAAATTAACTCAAAATAAAACCAAGTAAATACAAAATCCACACATTTTAAAACAGAAACATCTTTTTTGGCGATTAACTATTCTTCAAAAAAATTCCTCTCTGGTCTCTCTCTCTCTGGTCTCTCTGGTCTCTCTCTCTCTCTCTCTCTCTCTCTCTGGTCTCTCTCTCTCTCTCTCTGGTCTCTCTCTCTCTCTCTCTCTCTTTCTCTCTCTCTCTCTGGTCTCTCTGCTGTCTCTTTCTCTCTCTCTCTCTGGTCTCTCTGCTGTCTCTTTCTCTCTCTCTCTGGTCTCTCTCCGTCTCCCTCTGGTCTCTCTGGTCTCTCTCTCTCGTTCTGGTCTCTCTCTCTCTGTGATAATCATGCCGGCTGCTTGTGCGTGAACGCTGCAGTATAACTACATTTCCCAGCTCTCCCCTCGGGGCCTCGCGCGTCTCTCGGACTCTCACTGTTATTTAATGTCGCGCGACGTTCTGATTACTATAATATCGATCGCTGATTGGCCGGTGCGTCTCTCTCGCGTTAACCCCCTATCGCGTACGTTAGTTCTCTTCACGCACGGCCACGTTTCCCCCTCCACGCGGGCCCAGCTGTGTGCGGTGTGTGTGTGTGTGTGTGTGTGTGTGTGTGTGTGTGTGTGTGTGTGTGTGTGTGTGTGTGTGTGTGTGTGTGTGTGTGTGTGTGCGTGTGGTGCAAGGCACTGCCAGGGCTCCTGACGGCTCCTGAAGGCTCTTGACGGCTCCTGACGGCTCCGTGGGGGGTAATACTGCAGATTATCCCTAAACGAGCGCACGAGATCCTCTGTGCGCGCGCTGCCATTTATTACATCAGCGGCTAAATGCCCCGCGGGGAGAAGGCAGTCACTCAACGTCCCGGAACTAAATCAACGCGCTTCAGGAGAGCGTGTGTGCGTGAGTGCGAGTGTGTGTGTGTGTGTGTGTGTGTGTGTGTGTGTGTGTGTGTGTGTGTGTGTGTGTGTGTGTGTGTGTGTGTGTGTGTGTGTGTGTGTGTGTATGTGTGTGTGTGTGTGTGTATGTGCGTGTGTGTGCGTGTGTACGAGTGTGTGCGTATGCGTGTGCCACAGCCGTGTCCTACACTGTGGAAGCGCGTGCACTGCTATTATTGAGTGTTTTAAATGCATTTGTGTATCGCCCTAAATCGTCTCGAAGGGATTTACAAAGTTGTCGATTTGCCAACAGCAGATCAGAGAATCAAACAGTTCCAACACATGTGGGAAGTGCAGTAATAACAGGAGCCATTTAGGTGCATGTAGCAAATGTTAATTAAAGTCTGGGATCACAAATGTATATATTTCAACGTGTGTGTGAAATTGCGAGAACGTGCACGTGAAATTAGGCTACAGAAGTGACGCGAACGTGCACGTGCGCCCGGTCAGCCCAGTGTTATCCAATACCAAACAGATTGTAATGTTTTTAACGTTCTACATTTGAACTCACTGTTTGTAATGAGTCTTATATTTTTAAACCTTTATAATCCCGAACCTTGGGTAAAAACACGTGGTCACAAGTCCCAGATTTCAGTCCGGACTCACCTTTCTTGATGACGGACTGGTCCAAGACGCTGGTCCCGTTGGTGTCGTCTATGGTCTGCGTGGATCAAGACAAGACACAGCTCAGGCTTAAGGACAATACAGATGGAATTGTTTCATTCTATATATGTTCTTCAGATTCAGTCACTGCCAGAGCCCAGAGTCAATAATGATTAAGATACTATTATGTGATGAAAATTCTTAGTGTATGTATTATCTATATTTACAATTAAAACGTGTCTGCACCTCGAGCCAAAGCAAATAGTTTAAAACTTGTTATTGTTATTTACATTGGTGAAAAAGATAATTCTGATTCTGATTGAAGAAATTATTGGCAAAACAATCCATATCTCAGTTTGTAAAAAAATCTCTAAAACGTCTATCCCTCCAGCTTTTTGTTATTAGCTCAACAAAGGCTAACCCTGTATATGACACTCACATAAATCTGACTTTCCACACAGCAATTTAGTTCAGAGCAAATTGTAAGTTTTCTCATTGTTTTTCTAATATATTTTCAGAAATAACTATTCAATTCCACCTTAAAACACACACGTATTTTGACACCGCTTATAAAAAGGATAAATCCAATTCTCCCCCTGCCTCCATCCCCGACTCCAAATAAACGGCTTGTTAAATTGATCATCACCTTCTTCTTCACGCGGGAGAAATAAAAGAGAAAAGGCTGTTTTTTTGTTGTTTTTTTTATATCGGGGTTAATACAAGGCGTGACACTAAAGCGCAAAGCGGGAATGAGGCGAGGTTAAATGGCAAACAATTCAGGATGCTGTGCCCTGAGGCGAAGGCAGAGAGAAGATGAAATCCATAAAGTCCATTTGACTGGTCACCCTCTCGCTCTCCGTAATCTACACGAGCTCCGCGGGAACGTGGAACCGCGCGAACCGGAGGGCGATGCGTAAAATGTGTCTGGCATCTTTACGCACAGATAGAAGACTTATTAAAGGCCCGTATGGAAGCTTAAACTTGTATCTGTATCCACGTAAAAAGTGTGTGTGTGTGTGTGTGTGTGTGTGTGTGTGTGTGTGTGTGTGTGTGTGTGTGTGTGTGTGTGTGTGTGTGTGTGTGTGTGTGTGTGTGTGTGTGTGTGTGTGTGTGTGTGTGTGTGTGTGTGTGTGTGCGTGTGTGTGTGTGTGTGTGTGTGTTGGAGGTGTGAATGTGGTTACAGGCAACATTTTGTGCGTGTTTGTTAAAGATTGAATGAAATATATAAAGAATTATTACAGATTTGTCTCCTTCTTCGCATCTGGCTCCGCGTCTGTCTCGGCCTCGCGCTCCCTGCGGCTGTGGGTCATGTTTGCGTCACAGGGACCTGGACCTGGACCTGGGCCTGATTCAACTATAATAAATTTCGCTTTTTAAACACCTGAATGTAATATTTCAGCATAAAATGTAGTTTGTTTTAGTCGTTAAAAGTGTGTGTAGCATTCATTATTATCATTTTGTTTTCCATGTTTCATGCCTGATGCTCAAAGGATTTTCTCCTGTTGGAACAGAGCAAGTATTAATCTGGAGGAGTGTAAAAAGAAAAGTGTTTTGCAACATTTTTATACAAGAAGTAAAAAAAAATATAGATTGTTTTGATTTGTTCTTCACGTAAAAGAAAGTTCAAATAATGTAATTTAAATAAAAACAACCAAAAAGGAACAGAACAGTCAATCTCTTCTACACCATCACTTCAACTATTCTGGATAATACATTGAAAATATCCTACAATAATAATAATAATAAAAATAATAGTAATAATAATAATAATAATAATAATAATAATAATAATAATTTTCAGTGTGGTTTGCAGTGTGGTACCTGGACGTCTTCCAGGCCGTGCAGTCCGTGGAGCAGCCCGTCCCCCATGCCGTGGTCCAGTCCCGGGTGCGCGTGCAGCAGGACGTCGGGCCGCCGCATGTGTCCATAGTCCCGGCGGGGGTCCAGTCCCAGCTGCGGCAGTGAGGCCCGGGGCTGAGCCAGAAGAGAAGAACTGTCCACCCGCTCTCCGGACGCGTCCTGCCGCTGCCGCGCGCCCCACGCGCCCTGCTGGCTCTGGTGCAGGGAGTTCAGCGAGTACGGGTCGCTCACGTGAGAGTACGGGTCCTGGCTCTGGTAGTGCGCGAGCGGCTGGTACGGAGGCGGGAAGTACGGAGGCTGGAAGTCCGAGGACGGTGCGTGTGACAGAGGCGGCGCACTGGAGTATCCTGTGGCGTGAGACACCGAGCCCAGCTGCGACAGGCGCGACCCGTGGCTCGAGACGGCGTCATGCCGGTCCTGGATCACCGGGTTAGAGGAGACAGGACCGGGTTAGAGGAGAACGGGTTAGAGGAGACAGGAACGGGTTAGAGGAGACAGGAGAGAGAGGAGGCAGGACCGGGTTAGAGGAGGAGGAGAGAGGACAGAGAGCAGGAGTTAGAGAAGAGAGGAGAGCGTTCACATCATAGAGCGTTCTAAGTCAAAGTAAACCAAGGACCCATGCTTCTAAACTGGCTCTGACTCACCGAGTAAGAGTGGACCAACATCCGGACTATCGCAGATCTTGGACCTGGGATCTGAGTCTGGGTCTGGGATCCTGGGTCTGGGTCTAGGTCTGGGTCTGAGTTTGGGTCTAAAGCCGGTTGGTGTTGTAGCTCCTCTTGTGCGCGTCCTGCCCTGCAGCCGCCGCCGCTCTGAGTGCGTGCGCCCCTAGCTCCGGTATTTCCGGTTGATGCTGTAATTGTTATTCATGACTGAGACTTACAGGATATTAATGTGCACGAGGCAGAGGACGGCGACACGCGGAGCGTGAAGCCTCTCCCTCCGCCGTCAGTGACGTACGTCCCGTAGAGACTCAAGCTGCAGGATCAGACTCAGACCTGGTCCTGAACCCAGAGGACTAGAACCTTCACCTTCAGGTCTCAGGCCCAACAGGTCTCAGGGCGTCACTTTCAGACCTTTAAGGTCGTTTAAAACAGAAGACTACACCCTGTGCCACATTCATTTATTATTATTATTATGTCATTCAGTCCTGAGCTCAGAGAATAACACGCGCTTCATGATCATTATAAACGTTTTTCTCCTTTTCTTCTAAACAAGAGAACAGATCTGAACCTGGACTCTGCAGTGGGACCATGGTTCACCCTGAGCCTGGTCTGAGCCTGGTCCCTGCGGCCTCGAGCTCTTCTCTGTGCGCGTGCACATCCTGATCTCTGCCTCTCACTGCTCAGACTCACGCCGCGTTAACAGCGTAATAATCATAATAATAACAATAATAATAATAATAATATTAATATTATTAATATTATTATTAATAATAATAATAATAATAATCTCTTTTAAAAAATAAAGATAGAGTTAAATTCCCTCCCTGTGCTTCTGCTGTATCCTGTGTTGCAACACTGACATTTCTCCACCTGTCTGTTCACTGAAAACGCAATGTTATTTTAACTCAAAAATACAGAATAATAAACAAACAAATGTCTTGTTTTTTCCATAAATGTAAAGCGCACGGAGCGCACGAGCCCAGGTCATAACCACAGTCAAAGTTAAATAAACACTAATAACGTCCTCGTGCCTGTGAACACGGACAGCACTAAACTCTGAGCTCCACAGACGGTCCTCCTCAGGCCCCTGGATCCTCACTCTCTCACCAGAACGAGTCCAAACCAGTCCGAACCCCCAGACACATAGACCAGAATGAGACAGAGACCAGGATGAGACAGAGACCAGAGCGACACTTACCTCATAAATGTCTTCGTACTTGACATTTTCCACTAGTTTCCAAAGCATCGTGGCGTCTCCGGAGTCTACAGCGAACTGCAGCCGCGTCAGGACGAAGGGGAGACTGAAGCCGCCTCCCCCCTCCTCCCCCGCCTCCCCCCGCCCCCACGCTCACCCCGCCCCCCGTGTCTGCGCTGCTCTCCTCTCTGCACTCCTCTCTGCTCCTCTCTGCTCCTCTCTCTTCTGTGCTCCTCTCTGCTCTCTTCTCTGCTCCTCTCTGCTCCTCTCTGCTCCTCTCTGCTCCTCTCTGCTCCTCTCTGCTCTCCTCTCTGCTCTCCTCTCTGCTCTCCTCTCTGCTCTCCTCTCTGCACTCCTCTCTGCTCCTCTCTGCTCCTCTCTGCTCTCTTCTGTGCTCCTCTCTGCTCTCCTCTCTGCTCCTCTCTGCTCCTCTCTGCTCTCTTCTCTGCTCCTCTCTGCTCCTCTCTGCTCCTCTCTGCTCCTCTCTGCTCTCCTCTCTGCTCTCCTCTCTGCTCTCCTCTCTGCTCCTCTCTGCTCTCTTCTCTGCTCCTCTCTGCTCCTCTCTGCTCCTCTCTGCTCCTCTCTGCTCTCCTCTCTGCTCCTCTCTGCTCTCCTCTCTGCTCTCCTCTCTGCTCTCCTCTCTGCTCCTCTCTGCTCCTCTCTTCTCCGGGGCAACTCCCGGAGAAACATTTGGGATGTAACATGTTTTATTATTAAGACTCGTGATGAAGAATATTAGAACAGTTCTGTAGATGCTTGAACAAACATCAGCAGATTTAGTTTGAGACTATTATATTTATTGCTTTAGGATTAGGGATTAGACCCCAAGGTATACTGCATGACGTCTGCAGAGGGGGGTTTAATAGAAATGATGAGCTTGCGACCCCCCGGGGCGGAGCCGAAGACATGACATGATACGTCTCTGAAGAGGAGGTGATGGGGAGGAGGAGGGTTGCTGCTCGAGCAGCAGCTTGAGCTGCAATGAACTGAGAGGCTCTGTTTAAATGCAGCCATGATGAGCACAGGTGTGCAGAGGGAGGAGTCAGTGTGAAGGGGGAGGAGTCAGTGTGTGGAGGGAGGAGTCAGTGTGTGGAGGGAAGAGTCAGTGTGTAGAGGGAGGAGTCAGTGTGTGGAGGGAGGAGTCAGTGTGTAGAGGGAGGAGTCAGCGTGAAGGGGGAGGAGTCAGTGAATCTTGGTCGGAACAGGGTCTTTCTGAGTGGAGTTTGCATGTTCTCCCCCTTGTCTGCGCAGGTTTCCTCCGGGTGCGCCGGTTTGCCCTTCCATTGAAAACATGTCTGAATGTAGCGAATGAATGGAGGGTGTTTGGTCGGAGGCTTTGATGGTCCAGTGTGTTCAGCGTCTCGCTTCTGTCATCACCGTAGAGAGAATGGAACAACGAGGGTGACCTCGGTCTCTGAAATGTGCTATATAAATAATGATTACTTACTTATCTGTCGTGGCAGCACCTGCAGGCAAAAGCCAGATCCCCTCAGATCTCTGAAGCTAAGCAGGTCAGGGCCAGGTTAGTACTGTAATGGGAGACCTCTGGGAACACCAGGTGCCACAGTGAGGCGGCTGTAAAGTGCCAAACTGTGGCTGTGTCCTTAGGCAAGACACTTCCCCCACATTAGAATGAGTCTGGTGTGTGTGTGAATGGTTGGTGGTGGTGGGAGGGGCCGATGGCACAGACTGGTTGTCTTGCTTCTGTCAGTGTGCCCCAGGGCAGCTGTGGCTACAGTAGTAGTTCCTCACTGTGTTTGGATAGAGTGAATAAGGCTGTGAAGTGTCTTTGAGCATCCTGTAAAGCACAGTTAAACCAAAAGCATTATTCTTATTATGAAATGATCTTTAACTCCCAGACTCCCTTGTTTTTTCCACCAGAGCAGAGCAAGTGCTAGTAACCATAGCAACATAGTGTTACCTTTCTTCCTGTTAGCAGACACTCAGTGGACGATGTTAGTTTGTCCAGGAGCCTCCTCATCAGCAGAAGACCAGGAGATGGTCATGTGTGGAGTTTGCATGTTCTCCCCATGTCTGCGTTTCCTCCAGGTGCTCCAGTTTAGCTCCACATCATGCCCACAACATTTATCAAGAGATTTACTGCGAAAGGCGCTATATTAATAAACATGACTTACTGAGGATGAGGAGGTTGCTCTTCTTTGGTCAACAGACAAGTTTAATAGTATTTATGAATTAATTTGCTTTGTGGATGGTTCATTCCTTTTTTATCAGGCACATATGAACTTGCCGTGGCTGTATTTTAGCGCCACAATCGAGATAGTTCTACTTATTATTATTAACACGATTATTATTGTTGTTTATATTATTTAGATTAACTTTATACTGATATTGTTTTCATTATTATTTTCTATTTTCTGTGTGAAAGTTTACAGTTTCAGTGCAAAGTTTAATTTTATTTAATAATTTACATATAATTATATATATACACACACACACACACACACACACACACACACACACACACACACACACACACACACACACACACACACACACACACACACATACAACAGGAAAAATTAGAATAAATAGGATTCCTGAGGGATAGAATATTCATAATATTCATAATAATCATAATAATTGCAGCTAAATAACTATTTAGCGAAAAAACTATTTAAAATGAACAATAATTGAAAATAACAAACAAATACAAAAAATATGTAACGATAATTATTATTAATATTATTATTATTATTATTATTATTATTATTATTATTATTATCAGGCGTCATCTGTACAAACAACTCTTTTTAATGCATTCTGAATATTTAAAATTGTATTGTCTCTTGTCGTGTGTTCTGTTCAGCACTTTAGAGTCTATGAACTGTGCCATACAAAAAAATCTGCCTTCCTTTATTGACAGTGAGCCGCAGGTTGAACAATCAGGCCACGGTTACGTCAAAGCCCGAGGCCTAAAGACGTAACTTTCCCAATCGTCTTAGCTCCTCCCCTTACGCTACAATTGTTTCATTCATATTTGACCCTTTTAACGTAAGGCTTTAAATTTCTGTGATATTATAAACGAGAAATTCATATGATATCATTTTTTATTAATTTAATAATTTCTAGAAATCACAAAGAGCAAATGGCTGCGGTCTCCTTCAGACAACACTCCATCACATACACGACATTATTTTGTTTAGTTGGATTTTAAGCTCAAAGCGGATCACGTAGACCGCGTCAGGACTGGTCTCCGCTGGGCGTCTGTGCGTGAGCGGGTGACGTCTGCCCTCTAGTGTCCGCACCCCGTCAACGCAGCCACAGCCAATGGGAGAAACAGCATCAGAATAACAGTGAAAAGTTTATTTATTTCTGTAATTTCAACCAAAATGTGACACACATTAAATAGACTCGTAACATGGAGCATTTACAAACATTTACATCATAATAAATAATCACAGTGCTTTAAAAAGAGTTAAGATAAAATCCTTGTTGTTGCAGAAACTGAACAGTTTTAACCTGGAACATTGTCAGAGAAGAAGTCTGTCTCACATTTTCAGGAAGATTGTTCAAGGATTTGGCTGCATGAATCTGAAACGCTGCCTCCCCATGTTTAGTCCTGACTCTGGGACCAGCAGGAGGCCAGTCCCTGTGCTCCTCAGAGTCCCAGCAGGAGGCCAGTCTCTGTGCTCCTCAGTCCCAGCAGGAGGCCAGTCCCTATGCTCCTCAGTCCCAGCAGGAGGCCGGTCCCTATGCTCCTCAGAGTCCCAGCAGGAGGCCGGTCCCTGTGCTCCTCAGAGTCCCTGCAGGAGTTGGTTCATATGGCCCTAACATGTCTCAGATGTACTTTGGCGTGGATCAAGGAGGTACTTGTAACAAACAGAGCTGCTGGATTAAAGTTACAGATGTTACACAATAAAACAAGTTAAGTCAAATAAGAGCTGAGAAATAACTTAGACAAAATAGTTTAAAAACGCAAAAGGCCACACACAACTGCACAGCTACAATATTAAAGCTACAGTGAGGGTTTTGAGCATTTTGTGATGTATATTTATGGCCTGGTCGCCTTGGTCCTTGGATCCTTCTTCTTCTGCTGCTACATTATTGTGAGAGACATGTGTTCTGTCTTTGTCTTTTGATGTTTGAGGTTCAGAGTGGGACATACACAGCATCAATGTTTCAGGGGACGTCTGTTGTTGCCTCTTCTGTGGGACGTCGGGGTTGCCAGATCTTCCCCTCTCTCTCTCAGAACACTCCCCTCTCTCCCCTCTCTCCCTCCTCTCCCCTCTCTCTCCCGCCATCACCCAGAGCCATGGCAGATGTCCCCGCAGCCGGTGCGTCCCGGGGCAGGACCGACGACTGGTGGGTTCTCACCGCGTCCCAGCATGCATCACACCAACTAAAGCTTATACTGTTCAGCGGCTTTGTTGTCACGGCTGGACTAAGAAAGTGTGACATTACACCTTATAGTGTTAGCTTTAAGAAAGGAAGAGGCCGGTTTGAACATAAGCTAGAGAAATTCCAAACCAATCACATGTCCTGACTGAGACCAGGGGGCTTTACTGGTATTTAAATGTCTTTATGGTCTTGGGCTTTCTTATCTTTCAGAATTGTCGGGTGGTCAGGGGGAAGGGTCATGGAAATGTGGAATTCTTTTTAACCGAACTGTAAAGCACTTTGTGTTGCATCTTCTTTAGTACCAGCTCGGCCTGGATAAAGAAGGACCTGGTACTGGTTAAACAGGACCAGTGGAAACACAGTGGAGTAGGGCAGAGTAGAGTAGGGTAGAGTGGAGTAAAGTAGGGTAGAGTAGAGTAGAGTAGAGTAGGGTAGAGTAAAGTAGGGTAGAGTAGAGTAGAGTAGAGTAGGGTAGAGTAGAGTAGTGTATGAGTAGAGTAGGGTAGATTAGAGTAGGGTAGAGTAGAGTAGGGTAGAGTAGAGTAGAGTAGAGTAGGGTAGAGTAGAGTAGAGTAGAGTAGAGTAGAGTAGGGTAGATTAGAGTAGAGTAGAGTAGAGTAGGGTAGAGTAGAGTAGAGTAGAGTAGAGTAGAGTAGAGTAGAGTAGAGTAGAGTAGAGTAGAGTAGAGTGGAGTAGGGCAGAGTAGAGTAGAGTAGAGTAGAGTAGAGTAGAGTGGAGTAGGGCAGAGTAGAGTAGAGTAGAGTAGAGTAGAGTAGAGTGGAGTAGGGCAGAGTAGAGTAGAGTAGAGTAGAGTAGGGTAGAGTGGAGTAGAGTAGAGTAGAGTAGAGTAGAGTTGAGTAGAGTAGAGTAGGGTAGGGAAGGGTAGAGTAGAGAAGAGTAGAGTAGAGTACAGTAGAGTAGGGTAGGGTAGGGTAGGGTAGAGTAGAGTAGAGTAGATGAGAGTAGGGTAGAGTAGAGTAGAGTAGAGTAGAGTAGAGTAGAGTAGGGTAGAGTAGAGTAGAGTAGAGTAGAGTAGAGTAGAGTAGAGTAGAGTAGAGTACAGTAGAGTAGGGTAGGGTAGATTAGAGTAGGGTAGAGTAGAGTAGAGTAGAGTAGATTAGAGTAGAGTAGAGTAGAGTAGGGTAGATTAGAGTTGGGTAGAGTAGAGTAGGGTAGAGTAGAGTCGAGTAGAGTGGGGTAGAGTAGAGTAGAGTAGAGTAGAGTAGATTAGAGTAGGGTAGAGTAGAGTAGAGTAGAGTAGAGTAGAGTGGAGTAGGGCAGAGTAGAGTAGAGTAGAGTAGGGTAGGGAAGGGTAGAGTAGAGAAGGGTGGAGTAGAGTAGGGTAGGGTAGAGTAGAATAGAGTAGAGTAGGGTAGGGTAGAGTAGAGAAGAGTAGAGTAGAGTAGAGTACAGTAGAGTAGAGTAGGGTAGATTAGAGTAGGGTAGAGTAGAGTAGATTAGAGTAAGGTAGAGTAGAGTAGAGTAGAGTAGGGTAGAGTAGAGTAGAGTAGAGTAGGGTAGAGTAGAGTAGAGTAAGGTAGAGTAGGGTAGAGTAGAGTAGAGTAGAGTAGGGTAGAGTAGAGTAGAGTAGAGTAGGGTAGAGTAGAGTAGAGTAGAGTAGAGTAGAGTGGAGTAGGGCAGAGTAGAGTAGAGTAGAGTAGAGTAGGGTATAGTAGAGTAGAGTAGAGTAGGGTAGAGTAGAGTAGAGTAGAGTAGAGTAGGGTAGGGAAGGGTAGAGTAGAGAAGAGTAGAGTAGAGTAGAGTAGAGTAGAGTACAGTAGAGTAGGGTAGGGTAGATTAGAGCAGGGTAGAGTAGAGTAGAGTAGAGTAGGGTAGATTAGAGTTGGGTAGAGTAGGGAAAAGTAAAGTATAGATCAGAGCAGAGTAGAGCAGAGTAGAGCTGAGTAGAGTAGAGTAGAGTAGGGTAGATTAGAGTAGGGTAGAGTAGAGTAGAGTAGAGAAAAGTAGGGTAGAGTAGATTCAGAGTCAGATTCAGATTCATTTATTCGCCATTTGCAGTAACACTACATTGGAATACATTAGTAAAAGTTCCCAGTGTGCACAGGACAAGTACAGACATAAAACAACATTAAAAGACAAAAATAAAACACATTTTAAAAACAGTAAACAAATGTCACTGTGAAGTTGACCAACTTAAAACAGATCTGTACAAGTGCAAAAACATTAAAGTGCTTTGTTCAAACTGATAACAGCTCGTGGAAAAAAACTATTAGCATAACGAGATGTCCTGCATCTCAGAGAACAATATCTTCTGCCAGAGGGAAGAAGCTGGAACAAGGCTTTTCCTGGGTGGCCAGAAGAGTCATTGATAATTCTCAGGGCACTGTTAAAAAGTCTGGATTGATAAAGAGCCTCCAGGACAGGAAGTTCACAGCCTACAGTACTCTTAGCAGAGCGGAGCACCTTGTTTAAAGCTCTCTTTTCTTTATCTGTGATGTTACCGAACCACACAGACACAGAACCGACAAGTAAACTCTCAATGGTGCAGCGATAAAAGTTCAGCAGAATCTTAGAGTTAGTGGTAAATTCTCTAAGTTTCCGCAGGAAGTAGAGACGCTGACGAGCTTTCTTTACGACCTGGTCAGTGTTTTTAACCCATTTCAGGTCATTAGACAGAGTTAGACCCAGAAACTTACACTCCTCTACAATCTGCACTTGGGAGTTATCGATTGCGACAGGCAAATGGGAACTATTGCGACTAAAATCAAAGACCAGTTCACATGTTTTGGATGCGTTCAGCTGGAGGTTGTTAGCCTTACTCCACTGAACCACGTTTTGGATCTCGGCTCTATAAGACGATTCATCGTTATTACTGATGAGACCGATGATGGTGGTGTCATCAGCATATTAAGGATCAGGTTAGAGTCTGAGGAAGACACACAATCATGAGTGTACAGTGTAAAAAGTAAAGGACTCAAAATACATCCCTGAGGAGAACTCGTGCTCACAGAAACAATATCTGAAAAACAGTCATTGATTTTCACTCTCTGAGATCTGTCTGTTAAAAAGCTATAGATCCATATAGAGTATAGTAGAGTAGGGAAAAGTAAAGTATAGATCAGAGCAGAGTAGAGCAGAGTAGAGTAGAGTAGAGTAGGGCTGGTGGAAATGTTACAATGTTACTATTTATATGTGTTTGTCTATCTATTACTAAATGCATAAAACCCGAGGTTATTTTTATACATTTAAAAGTTGTTGTTTCTTGAATGTAAAACTCTAGAAAAAACACGTGCACGTGTCTCTGCTGAACGCTGCTTAAGTTTCACATGATCCTGTTTTCCTGCATCGATATTACCACCTGCAGAACACACAGTGACCACTAGGGGCCAGTAGAGCCTTACTTTAAAGCTGGGTCTGCGGGATGCGAGTGTGTGCTCCACCTATACTGGGGTTTCTTTCACTCATTAAACTAATGTCGGCACTTTTCAGATGGAGGATGTGGCTCACTTAAAGCTGGGGTACCTAACTTTAAAACTACACAGATTAATCTTCACTAGTTCTCACACACATGTATTTTTTGCCTCTATCACAAAATTTAGGCCAGATTTGTAGACAGAAAATCTTCATGGAGAGGACCACCGTCACTCAGCCAATCAGCTCTCACTTTAAAGTATGCTCTCACTTTAAAGTATGCGGTCTATAAATGTCAACACAACAAATCTATGCAATACAAAGTATGATAAATTACAGAAAAGTGACAATAAGACACAGAGACAGACACACACACACACACACACACACAGAGATAGACACACACACACACACACACACACAGACACAGAGACAGACACACGTACACACACACACACACACACACACACACACACACACACACACACACACAGAGACAGACACACATACATACACACGAAGAGAGACAGACACACACACACACACACACACACACACACACACACACAGACAGACACACCTACACACACACAGAGAGACAGACACACATACACATACACACAGAGACAGACACACATACACACACACACACACACACATACACACAGAGACAGACACACATACATACACACACACAGAGACAGACACACATACACACAGAGAGACAGACACACATACACACACACAGAGAGACAGACACACATACACACACACAGAGACAGACACACATACATACACACACAGAGAGACAGACACACATACATACACACACACAGAGACAGACACACATACATACACACACACACACAGAGAGACAGACACACATACATACACACACACAGAGACAGACACACATACATACACACACACACACACACACACACACACACACACATACACACACACACACACAAAGAAAGACAGACACACATACACACACACAGAGACAGACACACATACATACACACACAGAGAGACAGACACACATACATACACACACACAGAGACAGACACACATACATACACACACAGAGAGACAGACACACATACACACACACACACACACAGACAGACACACATACATACACACACACAGAGACAGACACACATACATACACACACACACACACACACACACAGAGACAGACACACATACATACACACACACAGAGACAGACACACATACATACACACACACACACACACACACACACACATACACACACACACAGAGAGAGACAGACACACACACACACACAGACAGACACACGCATACACACACGCACATAGACAGACACACATTGATACACATAGACGCACACACACACACACACACGTACACACAGAGACAGACATACCTACACACACAAAAATACAGAGAAATTCTATCAGAAAAATACACACATACTGTTCACGCATAGACACACACACACACACAGTGACACACACACACACACACACACACTGTTCACCTGTTGCCGCACACATAACACTTTTTCACTTTGGGAAGTCTCATATTTGCAGATATGGAAAAAGCTCAAACTCTGTGGATCTCGG